TTTAATTAGAAGTTCTAAAATTATTTTTAAATTGTCCTTGTTTTAAAAATAGTTTTTCTATGAGTAGCGTTCTAAAGATATACACACAGAAGTGCCATTGTAATGACAGTTACAGTTTCATAAATAAATGTCCACATAAACACTTCCAAACGCATCCTGCAGGGTCCAGCCTCAGGAGATGTGGTGGATGGTTCTCCATCTGCCTGACATTTCAGCAGGCAGTACTGGTGTATAAAGCCTCTAAGTTTGACTCCATGACTGTTGATGCCACCATGGAACCCAGCCAAGGAGGAAAAGGCAGGCCAAAATTTGTCCTCTTTCCAGAGTCCTCAACCATAAGAGAGGATTTTCCCCTTTTCCTCTGCAGCCATCATTCATCATGGAGTCCCTCCATTTCTCGAAGGAAAGAGGCTTCTCTTCCCTCTTACTGTGCTTGATGTGACAGCCATGAAAGGATTAATTTGCACAAGGCCATTACTGCACCAGTGCTGTGCCCACCAGTCAAACTCAATGAAGGCAAGTCTGAGGTACGGCAGCTGCACCCTGGGAGACTCTGGAGAACACTGATGCATATCATTTCTTGTGAAGCTGCCTGTGCGTGGATCTCCCCCTCCTTGTTGCTTCTGCAGTCTCAGCAAAATTCAGCTGAAATTTCTCAGTAAAACTATTTTTTCTTGATGTTGTCCTATTGTTAAGCACTTTGAACTCTTCAGCAATGGTAGCCTTCAATTATCCTCTGGGATTCAGGAACACCAATGGATCAACCTTTACAAGATAGACAGGGATGCTGTCCAGGGACCACCATTATGTCCTCTTAGACTCATTGTCCCTGTTCATGTCTGTTTCTACACACAGTGAGACAGACAGGGATGCTGTCCAGTGACCACCTTTATGTCCTCTTAGACTCAGTGTCCCTGTTCATGTCTGTTTCTACACACAGCCACCATACTATGCTTGCTACTTGTAACGTCTGGGATCAAGCCTACCCTTTAACCCACACCAATTTATGCCTGGTCACCTCCCAGGTGTACTTTGGGGACAGGGCTGGTATTCATTATTACTCCACCTAAGCCTTGATTCTCACACAAAGGAAACGTGGGAGCCAGGGCAGAAGGCAGCATGGCCCTCTCTGAGAGGCTCCTCTGATCTGAACAAGCAGGAGCCCAGGACCACAGCCCAGGCTGCAAAGTGCATCACACCATAGTCTGAAGTCAAAGTAAGAGCTTAAAGCCTCTAAATTTTCCTGGGAGCTCCAGAAAACTAGAGAGGAACCCAGAATCACAAAATGGTAGGGGTTGGAAGGGCAAATTTTCCTGGGAGCTCCAGAAAACTACAGAGGAACCCAGAATCACAGAATGGTAGGGGTTGGAAGGGACCTTCAGAGATCATTTAGTCCAACCCCCCTGCCAAAGCAGGGTCACCCACAGCAGGAACACAACCAGGCAGGTTTTGAATATCTCCAGAGAAGGAGACTCCTGTTCCAGGGCTCTGTCACCCTCACAGGAAAGGCATTTTTCCTCATGTTGAGATGGAATTTCCTGTGTTCCAGCTTGTGTCTGTTGCCCCTTGTCCTGTTGCTGGCCACCACTGATTCAAGTCTGGGCCCATCCTCTTGACAACCCAAAGAACACATCACTTGCAGAGAGATCATTGACAGGAGAAGTCCCTGCCCCAACTCAACTGCCTTCTCCCAAGAGCTGGATTTCTTCTCATTCCCAATACCTTCCTAAAGTTTACCAGAAGGCTGCAGAGCCAGCTTTTGCCTCAGGAGGCATGTAGCTGGTTTTATGTCATTAATTTCTTCATCAACGAGTGTGTAACTGCTCGACACCTCTTGGAAAATTGTAATTTGCATTTCTAATAAATCTTTACAATTATGTGGAGCATCACACACGTTAATACTTACCTTAAGAAATACTCCCAGTGCAAAAAGCAATCTGATTCAGAAGAATTTTAGCAGAATTAGGCTTGGGGAGGAAATTATTAAGGTAGGGCTTTACTCTACCCTCAGAACACCTTTATCGGTTTTCATGATTTCTTAAAAATGTTAATACAAGAATAAGCACGAGCTCTAATTGGCAAGCAGCAGAGCCTCATCACACTCAATAAAGCCTCTCGTGGGTGCAGTGTAACTGAAGTAATACACACAGAGCCCCTCCTGCAAACTCCTCCCTGCGGATTCCTACCCAAACCAGAAAGACCAATTTAACTTTTCCCAACACACCATGAACAGGGGGTGACCAATCCGTGATTAGAACGGGTGCGTTTCGTGAATGAGTCTGTTGTTATGATTAGATCTGGTTCTAAAGACAAAATACAGTTGTAAGTATTTTTACCAGCGGGGTTTCTTTTTTTCCCTCTTTCAAAGCCAAACCTACAAAAAAGCCTGACAAATGTTGAGAAAAAATTTACTAACCTCAGTTCCTCGGCAGCGGTGTTTCTACAGCTAGAAGTTCACTGCACGAGGCAACGCAGGAAAGAACAGCAAACACAGGAAAGGAGCACAGGAAAGGGAAATAATGGACTTCAGTTTCTCGGTGGAGACATGACATCATTTGCTTTGCAATGTATCTGCATCTCACAGCCAGAAAAATATCAGCCAGCCCCAAGATAAGGAACACGTTTATTTAGAGAAGAAATCTAGTTCAGATTTCATCACAATGTCAGTATTTGCTGTATTAATATTGCTGTTCCTCTCAGTTAATACTCAGCAGTCAGTAATACGTTGTGAGCAGAGGGAACAGATCTTTCAAGTGAGCCGTGTGTGCAACCTGGGAAATACCAGGTTCAAGACGTGCCAGTTTTTGTCAAGATTTTAGTGCCAAACCTGACCACTAGGACAAATCATCAAGACTCCTGTCAAAAACTGTGGACAGTCCAGCCCAACCACTGTAGGTCATTGCAGCAGACTTCACGCAGAGACCCCTCCTGGCCCTATAACAAAATGTGGGCCACCAGGCTCTGATGACCACTGTGTTGGGGTTGGTCTCTGGCTGCAGCTACTTGAGGAGTCATTGATGAAGGGTTGAGGGGCAGCAGCCAGTGAAGCTGCTACTTGGACATTCTCAAAATGGTGGGAACATTGCAGATGGAAAGCGTGGTTTTGGCCAGCACTGAAATCTTAAACCCTTTGACTAGATAATGGGGTTATAGTTCATTAAATTTGGGCAGCAGGTAGAGAGGGACTTCCTTACACATAACCCTAAGAAATCCAAGTTTCTATAGGCCCAAAGAGCAATTTTCTAACTGCTATTCTGCTAAATCCAAAAACATCATGGTGGGCAGCCTGCTGTGCATTTTCTATGCATTTATTGCAACGCCTGCTGTCAAGGGCAGTAGGCCCAAAGAGCAATTTTCCAACTGCTATTCTGCTAAATCCAAAAAAGAAGACCCAGGTGACATCATGGTGGGCGGCCTGCTGTACATTTTCTACGCATTTATTGCAACGCCTGCTGTCAAGGGCAGCTGGGTGTCTCTCCAAAGGACACACGTGTCTCTGCAGAACACACACTTACGAACACATGAAGTAGTCAGCACGGTCCACTCCCCCTCACCCAGCCCATGTGTGCTGTGTGTGTCCTGTATTTAGATACCAGAAAGAAATTCTTTCCTGTACACACAGTTACGAACACATGAAGTAGTCAGCAGGGTCCACTCCCCCTCACCCAGCCCGTGTGTGCTGTGTGTGTCCTATATTTAGATACCAGAAAGAAGTTCTTCCCTGTGAGGGTGGTGAGACACTGGAACACAACTGGAAGCTGTGGATGTCCCATCCCTGGAGGTATTCAAGACCAGGCTGGATGGGGCTTTGAGCAACCTGGTCTAGTGGGAGGTGGGAGGTGTCCCTGACCACAGCAGGGGGGTTGGAACTCCATGATCTTTAAGGTGCCTTCCAACTCTAACCATTCTATGATTCTATGATTGCTTCTGCTGTCCCCAATATACACAATAAATTAGACTGCAAATTTGTAACCCGTTATTCAGCTGCAGCTCCCCCATAGCCCTTCATGAGGTGGATGAAGCATGACTTCTAACACTGCCTTCACCATAGACTGCTGATGACTTTGTGATGGATGACTTACAGATCTGCTCCCAGGGAATAACTTCTCCTTTGTGAACCCTCCGTTTGCAACCCTCCACCATGCCCCGGCCTGGAGCCATGTGCGCCTCTGGTGTCCCTCCATGCACATAGGTCTCTGCATAAACCCACCCACCTCATGCTAGGAAAAGTGGGGTAATGGTTTTAAACTGAAGGGAGGGAGATTTAGATTAGATTTGAGGAAGAAATTTTTTTCTTGTGAGGGTGGTGAGACACTGGATGAGGTTGCTCAGAGAAGCTGGGGATGCCCCATCCCTGGAGGGGTTCAAGGCCAGGCTGGATGGGTCTGGTGGGAGGTGTCCCTGCCCATGGCAGGGGGGTTAGAACTCGATGGTCTTTAAGATCCCTTCCAACTCTAACCATTCTACGATTCTATGACCTCACCAATAGCTATGGGGATGAAGGCTATTGCTCACCACATTAGTGACTCTGTCCTTCAGACCTTGGCGTTTTGCAGGAATGAGAAGCTATGAACTGGGCTTAGAGTACCATTCCCTTACCTGTTCTGTCAGATGTGTCATGGGTGGCCCAGTGTGGCAATCCCCACGCTGTGCAGGGAGCTCAGGACATGCAGAGCAGGTCCCCAGACCACCAACCTCAGCAATGTACAGAAACAAATGGAACTGTCGTAACTCACAGGAGAACAAAGGCCCATCATTTTCTGCCTGAATTGAACATTGCTTTGCAAAGTTCCATGACTGACCAAGTAGAAAATAATCCAGATGATTCTGTTTATTGTTTTATCCGTTCATTTTCCGTATTTCAAAATTGTCCTTTATTTCAGTTAGGTTCCTAATAATGCAAATGTCATTTATCCTTATTCAGATAAACCACGTTAAGTGCATATGTTTGGCAGAGAAGCGCTCCTTTCTGCCCAAAAATGAATTCTGAATTTGTATAATACTCTCTGGGAACAAACAATGTTTTTATTAGCTTTATAGAATGCACCGCCCCTCTACAGAAAAGATGGTTACTGACAACACAAGAGACGACAGGGAATAAAATTAAATCTAACATTCAAAACAATAATGACTATTTCTACATATTAACATTCATACCAAGCTTAAAATTAGTACTATTTGGACAACAGACCACTATTGAATGCTGTGGCATAGAAACTATATAAGCAATGATAATTACCATTTAAAAATAGTTAAGAGTGTGAATTGGAAGATTTAACGTGTTTTCTTCTTTTAATGTACAGGCCCCATTCCCAGAATTTCACCGGACCGTGCGGACAGACCGACTGTCACAGCTGTCTATCAAGGCTGAATTAGATGAAGACAAACAATACAGGCTTTGTGGTTCAACTGAAGCAGCAGCCTCCAAAGTTTCCATTTCTCATCTGAGGGCACTGTGGGAGCATTGTCTTCCCCCCTCTCTGAAAAGAGAATGGAACAATTATGTTACTGAAATTCCTCCGCGGCGGGTCTGAAAGACTGTTTATGTCCAGCCAGGGAGACAGGGAAAACTAAAAGCAGGGATTTCATGACAGCAGGTGGGGGCAGTCCCAGGGTATATACTTCAGTGACATAATGGTCCTGATTCTTCTCTTTCAGGGTAAAGCTGGAAGATTTAATGGAGGAAACGGCAATAAAAATGCAAAGTTAAATGCAGTGGTAAAATTATTAACTTGAAAGAAAGCTTTACAGGCTGCTTTCTGAGTCAGTCAGGTAATTGATTCTAATGTGGAGAGCACGGTTGTAAACTAGAAAGGAAAATATACTAGTCACTGAGAATTTTTTACTGGTTGCCATTTTAGGGGGCCTACCAAGTGAAGTGCTGGCCACGCAGCTCTCATGGGAGTCAGATGGACTCAGGAGATAGAAAGCCATCACCCAATTTGTCCCTCCTAATAGTGGCTACATTCTTATTCATTATCAGCAGAGATAAATCAATACTTGTTTTCATGCAAACACATATTCTCGTACTTTAGCATAACCTTAGAAAATCAGCTGCTTGGGCTGCCCTGGTGCTTCTCGGTTCAGGAGTGGTAGGTAGGAGAGTGCCAAACCATTTCATTCTGTTCTACTAATAATCTCACAGAATCACAGAATTTTCTAGGTTGGAAGGGACCTTAAAGATCATCTTGTCCAACCGTCAACCTGACTGACAAAAATAGACACCCGCACAACAAACAAGAAGCATCACCATCACTAAACCATACCTCCCAGCACTACATCAACCCGTCTTTTGAACACCTCCAAGGATGGTGCTTCAACCACCTCCCTGGGCAGCCCATTCCAATGGCTGATAACACTTTCAGCGAAAAAATTTTTCCTAATATCCAGCCTGAACCTCCCCTGGTGTAACTTGAGGCCATTTCCTCTCATCCTGTTGCCTGTGACTTGGGAGAAGAGACCCCACCTCTCTACACCCTCCTTTCAGGGAGTTGTAGAGAGCAATAAGGTCTCCCCTCAGCCTCCTCTTCTCCAGGCTGAATAACCCCAGCTCCCTCAGCCTCTCCTCATAAGACTTGTGCTCCAGACCCCTCGCCATCTTTGTCGCCCTTCTCTGGACCCGCTCCAGCACCTCAATGTCTTTTTTATAGTAGGGGACCCAAAACTGGACACAGTACTCAAGGTGGGGCCTCACCAGTGCCAAGTACAAGGGGACGAACACCTCGGGCCCTACTCACCACGCTGTTCCTGATACAGGCCAGGATGCTGTTGGCTTTCTTTGCCACCTGGGCACACTGCTGGCTCATGCATGGCTCACTCTCATTTCTCCTGAGGTTATTTTAGTGCCAACTACAGCTTAGTATGTACACACACACAAAAAAAATATCCCTAAGTGCTTGAGTGCAAATGGTCACCTGGGGCTATAATTGTTTGCAGGAAGAGTCAACAGATCTAGAGAGATCCCACTCTTTTTCTTTAAGAGGAAGGGAGTGCAGAGGCTGCTAGTCACCAGCAGCGCTGTCAAAAAGTCAGCGTCTACAATCTGTGCCACAATTTCTATGTTATCCCTAGTTATCATCCAATACCCCCCAAAGTCACGGTGTCTGGCAGCAGGAACATTCGATGGTCAACCTGGAGAAGTTTCTACCAGCTCCTTTCTCGGGGAGGCTGTAAGCCTTTCACAGAGCAGCTGGTTTGAGCCATAGTTACACTTTACGTAATAGCACAGAGGACTCCCAGTTCTTCCTGGGGTTTGGCATAAAGGTGTAACATTAAAAAAAAATGTTATTCTCCATCTCTGGAAAAACTCTTGGCATGTTCTTCAGTGGGCCACGGAAATGACGGTGCAGGGACCAATCCCCTATCTGAATTTAACAGAAAGGTTCCTCTTGCCTGGACAGAAGATCCTGGGTCAGGGAACTAGACTGAAAAATCTGAATTAGGAAGCTCAAAGGAAGCCAAAAACTTTGTGTTCTTAAAGTTCTGCATAGGCAAACTAATGCTGTGACACAGTGACACTTTCTCAATCTCAATTAGTGCTAAACTAATTAACAAAAGTGTTTTATACAGTGCAGTGAGCAGTATCTCTCTTCTTTCTTGGATAATCCCTAGTGTGATGTAAGGGTGATTGAGTATCTAATTACTCCTTAATTGAATGCACATTTTGTACATTTTTCACTAGTTCAAGCTTAATGCTTTTGGTCCAAAAATCAAAGTCAGTGAAATTAAGTTGAACTGGGATTTGGGCAGCTATTGCATTAATGGATTACTTTTGGAAAGGAGCCTAATTACGAGCCAGTCTGAACATTTCAGTTGTGTTTGTTACAGAAATATCTAACGCAGCGTCTGACAAAAGACTGACTGTATATATTGGTAGCATTGTTATTCATGTTTACCTTTTATTCTTATTTAAGAGTGGTTTTTCTACTATACTAAATTAATAGTGCTGTTCCATAATCCATGTGATCAAGTAATGCACTACTCAGGCTAAAGGTTTCTGTAGCCACGAAGACACCTGCTTCTCTTACTCTTCTGAAAAGTTTTTGGAAATGTAATATTTGAGCTAAAATTGTACAAATAGGCATGAGTATTATAAACAGAAAATTGCCCAGATGACTTGCTTGCTTACAGATTGTATTTCTTCCTCTGAAGTTTCCTTTGTTTGGGTGGAGTCCTACGTATAAATAGAGTCCCCCTGCTTCTTGTGGAGTCCTCTACAGATCAGCCAACCATTCCCACAAAAAACCTTTCAGAATCAATGCCATACAGTGGGACATCTAAGAGCTATTATCACAATTCCCATGGTTATTAAAAAAAAAAGTATTAATAGCATCAATTAAAATTTGGATATCATCCTCAGAATGTAAAAAGAAAACAAAAAGCCATTATGTTTCCAAGAATATTTATTTCTAAAAAAAAAATAAAAAACCATTATGTTTCCAAGAATATTTATTTCTAATTCTTCCATATAATAAATTTATGTACTTACGATTCCTCACATAGAATAAATTTTCTTGTACAAAATGGGATAAATGCAAGACTGTAACTTTATCTCAGAAACAAGCAGTGGCAAGAGCAAAGATAGGGACAAGCTGGTATATTTTTAAGAACTAAAGGTCCAAATGTTTCCATAGTAATAGAACACATTTGAAAGAGAAGATATAAGAAAACTTCAGTGAAAAGGATTATTTTTCAGTGTCTTCCAAAAGTGTTGAGAAAGTGCAAATAAACGGACTACGGAGAAATGAAATAGGATGGCCACGATAATATGCCTTTCCATCTGATAGGGAGGAACTAAGATACCCCACTGCAGCAGCCTTCGGTCAACATCATGACACAAGATCAAAAACTTTCTTCTGCTATTTAAATGTAGTCAATCTGCCTTCTGGAGAGCTTTTCTACTTCTTTTGTCTTAACATATTCCTTACTATCATTGTTTTACACAATGTCTTTTTTTTTCCCTTGTAGAAGCATCTTGCCTGCTCCTCCTTAACACCAGGTTAAACCAAAAATTTAAGAGCTTAATAAAAAAATCAAAGGATATGGGCAGGAAAAACACTTTAACACTGACTACAAATTGCCATTATCTTACGCTTTCCTAAAAGCATCACCTGAAAATATGGTCAGGCGTGAATTTAGAGTGTTTCAGAAAAGAGAACTGACTACTTTACAAATCCTTATCTTTCCTGAAACACTTGGAAAGGTCACAATTTATTGAGTCTACATCTAGTTCTGCAGGCATTTAACAGCACCTCGCTAACTGAAGTGTACCTTTGCTTCTCTTGGGCTCTGGGGATGCATAAAAATCTTTTTAAAATTACAGTAAGTTTTGCTTTGTAGCACTGCTCTGTCACAAACTGTGGTGCAAGTCCCAACATTGCTAAAAACAACCACTGCAGGTATTCTCTTCCGTGAGTGACAATTATCAGTTGCAAAAACATTTTCAGTAACCCAAATAACTTGATCGGTTACTTGATCGGTGACTGATTCCAGGACAAGGATCTGCTGGAACAGGTCCCAGTGGAGGGCCACAAAGATGATCAGAGGGCTGGAGCACCTCTCCTATGAGGACAGGCTGAGAGAGTTGGGGTTGTTCAGCCTGGAGAAGAGAAGGTTCCAGGGAGACCTTATTGCAGCCTTCCAATATCTGAAGGGAGCCTATAGGAGAGATGGGAGGGACTCTTTGTCAGGGAGTGTAGTGACAGGACAAGGGGTAATGGTTTTAAACTGGAAGAGGGGAGATTTAGATTAGATACCAGAAAGAAATTCTTTCCTGTGAGGGTGGTGAGACACTGCAACAGGTTGCCCAGGAAGGTCATGGATGCCCCATCCCTGGAGGTGTTCAAGGCCAGGCTGGACGGGGCTTTGGGCAACCTGGTCTGGTGGGAGGTGACCCTGCCCATGGCAGGGGGTTGGAACTCCATGATCTTTAAGGTCCCTTCCAACCCAAAGCATTCTATGATTCTATGATTTTGTTTTCTATTTGTTTTCAAAACACTGCTGTCTGCTTAGCAAGAGTTTGCTTGCAGGCTTTCACTGCGCTGTTTTCATCCATATGAAATCATTAGAACTACAAATTCCACTAAGAGTAAAGACCTGTGACTACCTGGATCTTCACTTTCAATGGAGTAATAATGTTCTGCTTAAAACGCCCTGTGTGACTTCATCCAGGTAAACCAAAGTGACTCCCATTGCCTCACGTGTACAGCATTGCTGAGGGAGGAATGCATCTTGTAGACTTTCTTCTCTGTCTGTGGTCAAGCACACGTACCTGTATGTCCTTCAAATTCCCTGGACATTTGAGAGCTTTTCCATTACTGTATTTCACATGTACTAATCTGGAGTCTTTATATTTTAAAAAAAAAAACAGGTGTAATTTTATCAAAGACGATTTAAGCTTCCTCCCATTCTGCCTCACCACTAATTTGCAGCATTTTCCCAACAAGTAAAAATAACATGGCAGAGTTTCAGTGTGTGTCCA